GTTTTTATTTAATAGCTGTACATAATTATGAATTTAAACATCAAATTACTATCATTTGAATCTAGCAAAGTAAGCTATATCATATGTATATCCTACATATTTGACTTTTTAACCTAAAAAATATGCCACATGCTCTGATAATAACCATGACATAAGTGAAAGTACTGATAAAAATAATTTATATGGAAAAAATTAATAATCCTGAAACAAGTGCAAGTACCAGTACAAAAATAATTTACAGAGAGCTAATTGATTAAGTTGCAAAAGTAGATGGTTAGTAGCCAGTAGGTAGACCACAAAAGAATCCACGAGTGTTTATACTCTCCTGTGCTTTCTACAACTGCAGCACAGTCAGAGGCTTAGAATGTGAAAAAGAGTATTGAGATTTTTAGAGCATATGTTTCCCTATACAAGCAATTTCTTGGGATTGCTAGTCTTTCCATTTCTAGATTATCTGTATTTTCATCCATTTTACCCTTTTGCTTTATTAACAAGCATGGCTCATTTTCAAGTCATTTTTCTTTAATCCTTCAGCTCTAAATGTGTTGACGTTTTCTTTTATATAATTCCTCCTGAGAGAGATTTTAAAATCAAATTTGCCTTCCTTAACATCAGTAAGGGTGTAGTAGTCACTCTCACGGATATCCACCAATACTGATTCTACCCGCATGTACACGGGCAAAAAGAAGGTCTAGTGACAAGACGTTTTCTTTGAAAATGTTTTGAAAACAACCTCTGGCTAAGACAAAAAGACAAAAGTTATTTGCATTGGCACTTACAATGTGAAAATGTCTCTTATGCTAAATTAGGTACCTCTATCAAAATTTCATTCAATATGTTTTTCTTCTACTAATTGTGAAGATCATGAATAGGTTAAATGCACTTGATTGGCTTTGTTTCATGCCTGATATTATTCTGCTGTGGTTTCACAGGCTTTTCTAGAGAAACCGAAGATTACCAGACACAGCCCCCTTTGGTCTTCTCTGGCATCAGAAGTTACTGCAAGCAAAAATTTGCAAAGACATGACTTTGTGACCTTTTATTAAAGGAATATTATATATTTTATGTGGGAAAAAGACAGAATCTTTAAGAGATTCTTGCTTCTCTTTTGCTAAATTTGCCTGAACAAGTTGGGGCAAGATGTACTGAGTATTCATATGTACTGGGAATTAAAAAAAAATGTTTCTTTATTATTTCTTTGTGGTAACAAGCTTTTTAAAACGTTTTCTGAAGGTTTCTAAAATGTCTCCCACAAAACCACAGCCTGCCATGCAAACCCAACTGCCTGAAATGCCTGTTGGGGACTGTGCTTTGGACCAGCAATATCTTAACTTTATACTTGTTTCTGGTTAGTTTATTTGGAACTGTTCCAAGCCTAACCACCCTGACTGGTCTCTAATTCAGGTGGTAAATCTCTGCTAAAGGTCCAGATGATAAATATTTTAAGATTTGTGGATCACATCTGCTGTCCCCTGCATCATATTCATCTTATTCATCATCTTTTAAAATCATAGCCTTTTAAAAATAAAAAAAAAAGTCACTTGTTGCTCATGGATCACACCAAATCAAGACATTGGCTTTAATGGATTCAGGTTCAAATCACAGTCACTAGATACTGATACGCAACCCCACGATGAGGGGAAAATGATCTTGGGAACTTGCTTCATTCACAGAGCCAACAGCAGCTCCCTAGCTAAAGATAAAGAAGTACACTTCTTGAAATCTGCGTGGTTTGTTTCCTCTTCATTTAGGAGCATTTTTTCATTATAGCTAGATTCATGTTTTTTCCCAAAGGAAAAGAAAAAGGATTAAGAAAAGAGGGAGCGAGGAACAAGGAGAGAACAGGGACAAGAAAGGAAGGGGAAAAGAAGAAAGGAAAAAAAGAGGAAGAAAGAAACCAGGGAGTCTAAAGAAGAGATGGGAAGAACAGAAAAAGAAAAAAGGAAGAGAGCAAGAGGTAGAGAAAGGAGAGAAGGAAAGGGAGAAAAACAGAGAGAAGCAAACACAGAGAGAGAGCCAGAATATTAGAGCAAGGGCACAGTCTCTCCTTCTTTTCCACAGAGCCAGGCAGCTCTTAGAGGCACCTCCCCAGCTGCTTTCAAACATTGAGGTTGCTGCCCAGCCACTGATCACCATCCCAAGAAGTGAAATGTGGGCTTCACATCTGAAAACTTCCACTTGGTTTTTTACCAAGTGAAGTGGAACACAAAATACAAGGCCCAAGGAAATGGCTTGTGTTTTCTTTGGGATGCTTGGGCTGTCTACTGGGGGAATTTTTTGATGTACTGACCAACTTCAGTGCATATGATTAATGTATATATAGGGCAAACCAGGATAATTCAGAACTCTTTTTCTACCACAGCAGGTTTTCAGTCAGAATTATCTGGATGCTTGCCTCAACTCTCCACTAGGCTTTGCCAGGATAAGCACAGTCAGGGTAGTATGCAGGAGACAGGGACCACTCCCTCTCTCTAAGGTTCCTTCAACACCCACACCTTGTGAACCTGACCATAGTGGAATCTGTCTGGATATATTTCTTCTGTGACCAAATATAAATTCTAGGTAACAAGTCCCTCAGAATACACCCCCCAAACCCCAGTGTCACATTTTACTTAGCCAAAAATGGAAAAATATGATAGATGACTGAACTGGGAGAACTACACTAATGGGAAAAAATATTTTACAGTCTTTTCTTCTGCATCCCAGGAAGAGGTTAGCAAAGCCAATGTCCACAATTGCTCAATTGAAGTAATTGGTACATATGTGCATAACTTGTTTTGGACTTCATGAGCTTGAATTGTAATTTCTCTAAAAGCAGAGATGTGTAGATAAAACTTTTTTCTAAAGTTTTACTTTTTCTACCAAAAGTAAAGCTTAAAACTACACTTATAGTATATCTTAGCATAAAAATAGTGTTGGGCCTGGAGGTATATATTTCTCTGATGGCTGACAAGGTATGTACAATACTTCTTTTAAAAATCAAATTATAGGCTTCAATTAATGAGAGAAGCATAGTAGTAAAAAACAACCTCTTGGTAAATTATTTGTAAAAAGAAGTTCTATGAAATTAACAAATTAACCCATTGTTTATCTAATAAAAATGTACCCTCATTACTCTTGCACTGACATGATTCTGGGTTTGGGTTTTGGTTTATTTTGTTTTGGAGAAAAGGTGAAAAAGAATAACAGGAAAGATGCATGACAGTTTATTTTACTGTATCTTACAGATCCAACTTCTAATGATGAAGCTTCCCACATAACTTCTTTCTTTTTGGGAGCAGAAAGGAAGGAAGAAAATGAAGAGTCAGAGCTGTTGATACATTGAGATAGTATTTTTCCACTCTACTGAAACTCTCTACCTTTCCTTCCATTCTGTTTCACCAGTTCTCTAAGTGACAATTAGAGTGATAAACTTCCTCATTGCTGCTCATCCCACCCTGGTGTTTTTGTTTTGTGTTGGTTTGTTTTAGCAGATTTTACTGCTGACTTTCTCCCTGAATACATAATCTCTAAAGGAAAAACATTCAAAATTCTTCAGATGTTGCATCCTGACTCAAGCAGCCACCTTATTTCTTCACTTGCTGCTGATGTTACTGCATGAGAATGTCCCGGAATATATTAAATCAAAACAAAACAGCATTAACAAAAAATTGTTACATGGACAATTCTATGTATCTCTTTAAACAGACTTTTTTGTTGTTTGTTTATCAGTAGGGTATGTAGAAAGTTTGCTCATTATTGCTTTTGAAAGGTTTCATCTTGCCAAGTGCTGAAAATACAACCCTGGACAAAGATCATCTGTCAAATATGCATCAGTAAAATAAGTTTCTCTTTTTAAATGGCTTGTACTGAGCTGTCTGGTGTCCCCACACTGTATGCCCAATGTGACTTCTTGAAAGCAGGCTGTAACCTTGGGCAGATTTGTAGTGACAAATGTTGCTATGCTTCTATAAGCACTGCTTCTGCTAAAGGGCACTGTGCATTAGACAAGGCCTCATGCTCTGTTTAGTAAAGAGTGCTTTCTGCTGCAGCACCTGTGTCCAAGTCTCCATTTGTTAACGACACACATATGTGCATTTCCTTTTTTGGCATGTGAGACTTTGGGAAGCATGATTACAAAATGTTTAATGCAAATCTAGAGGCAGTTGAGCATTCTTCTATATGAAAAAGCCATAACATATATCTACCTTGCTTTCAGAATTGCAACACTAAATAGGGCAAAGACACATTTGTCGGTAAGACAGCCTCCTTGCCCTACTTCCTAGTCTTTCTACACTACACTCTTCACTCTTCTTCCATGGAACAAATAACAGAAACTGATTCCTATTTATCTCACAAACACACAACACTTTCCTGTCTCTTAGCTTGAAAGACAAAAATGAGGACTTAAGGCTACAAGTGACAGAAGTATTCTGAGAAATATGGTGACTGTGATTCTATAAGAGAATTCCCACCATCTCTATAGCACAATTCATCTCTCATGTGGTTAGTAAACATAGCTTCTCTGTTCAGTAGTTGAAAGCGAGGGTTCATATGTACAGTTAATATCTGTCAACTAAAAGTCATGAATAAAAAGGACACAAAAGGGGTGGACGGGAAACTCCAAAGTATGATAACTTTGTTAAGTATTCAGTTTCCTTTTCAACAATGAGTTGATTGCCTATTCACTTAGAGTATTAACTAGGCTGGACACGTGCCATGAATTAAGTGATTAAATTACATAAAAAGCACTGGAATACACCTAAGCTCTGAAGAAGCCATTTGTATTGGTCACCAGGACACTGTAAGTAGTCATAAGGGGGGAGAAAATAAGAATTTAAGCAGTTTGTTTAAATTTCTTATTTGTTACAGAAATGGGCTTTCTGAATATGCAACACAAAAAAGAAAATGTGAGGGGCTTTTGTGAAAGATGAATATTTGCTATCCTAGAATGCAAACTTAATGCTTTAAAGTCTGGAAATGTCTTTGTTTTACTTTTTCTCTCTTTCTGTGATTTGTAGCATACGTTGAAGATCTCACAAGATGTGTTGAGCAAAGCAGAAGACTTATTATCGTGCTAACTCCAGACTATATTCTCAGACGAGGATGGAGTATTTTTGAACTGGAAAGCAGACTCCATAACATGCTAGTCAGTGGTGAAATCAAAGTGATTTTGATTGAGTGTACAGAATTGAAAGGAAAGGTGAATTGCCAGGAAGTGGAATCACTAAAGCGAAGCATCAAACTTCTATCACTGATCAAGTGGAAGGGACCCAAAAGCAGCAAATTAAATTCTAAGTTTTGGAAGCACTTAGTGTATGAAATGCCCATCAAGAAAAAAGAAACGCTATCCCATTGCCATGCTCTAGACTCTGCGGAGCAAGGGCTTTTTGGCGAACTCCAGCCTCTACCCTCAATTGCCATGACCAATACCTCGGCCTCTATGGCACCGTCTCAAGCTGAGCTCCCTGAATTCCATCACTCAGATTCAATGCAAATGAGGCACTGTTGCAGAGGATATAAACATGAAATGCCAAGCACCACCTTGCCACTACCATCTTTAGGCAACCACCACACTTACTGCAACTTGCCACTAACACTACTCAATGGACAACTACCCCTTAATAACGCTCTGAAGGATACAGAGGAAATTCCTAGGAACAATTCCCTTTTACCTTTATCATCCAAAGAGCTGAGCTTCACCAGTGATATTTGGTAGTGAAAAAATCCTCAGTTCCTCTGAAAAGCTATATGAGCACACAGAGTATGTAGTGTACGAAGCATAAATACACCTAATAACACTGAGGTGCTGAAAAACTAAAGAAAAAGGCACAAAAATCACGTTTGTACTTATATATTTTTGTTTACATTTCCAGAACTGTGGGGGAAAAGAAGATCTTCCTTTTGTAGTATGTCACCTTGCCTCAGTGTACAGTTTTGATTTTTTTTCCTGAAATGAAAGAAAATTTTAAATTGTGACATTTTAGAGCATGTTTTATGCCACATGGACTGCAACGATTGTGTAAGATACCTTTTCCCATATTTATGAATATTTCAGAATCTAAATGGTAGTTTTTAAAAGGAAATCTTAAAGACTCATTGAATTTGAAAATCCTGAGTGAAGTTTTCAGGGAAAAGAAAACTTCTATAAACTAAAAGAAAAATTGAGAATTATAAAGGATAAATGTTCAGACAGCCAATTGGAAGATTATTTGTAGAGGATGATCAGTTGAAAAAAAAATATGTGATAGAAATGTTTAGAACTTCTTCAACATAATGGACAATTCTTGTAAACTAAATCAAAAGCTTGTAATAATAGCTTTTAGTTTCATTACACAAGCACATCATCAGTAGACAAACTGATAAGTAGGTGAACAATGTGCTTTTCTTAAGATAATGAATAGACAGCTCTGAGCTCCTTTAGGATGATTTTTAATAAGCTTTATGACTTTCTGGCTCATTTTTAAATGTTTTACAATTTTGAAAACACACTGTAAAGTACACATTTTACTGTTTTCTAACAAATTCAAATTGGAATATTTTTTCCAAACAATCTCTGGACGTGCTCTAAGTTTTACG